CCACTGCTGATCGTGTCGTGGGCGACCGTCTGATGCGGGTTGTCGGAAGAGGGGTTAGAATTTAGGATCCCGGATTTTACCATTTGGAGTTCGAAGTTTCCGGAAGTTGGTTTTTGCTCTTCCCGACTGGGGCATAAGTGCTGAGGGAGCAGAGGCGGGTTTCCGCTGTTGCTGGGGCCTGACCACTTACCGAAAGGTGCCGAAGGGGTTCAAGATCTGCGCTTTAATTTTTCAGGTCAGGGACTGTCTTATCCCAGTGTGTTACGATATATATATATATATATATATATACATATACATATATGTATATATATATATATATATATATATCTGTGTGTGTGTGTGTGAACACGCTGGGTCGGCACGGGCTCACGTCGGGCTCGTCACGATCCTCACAGGGTCGCACCGACGCCACGCCCTCTGTAGTCATCCATGGCTCTCTTGAGATTGCAGGCACCCGAAATGCTAAAACTCTGCATCGTCAGACACGAACATCCCGACACTTTTCATGCCGGAAGCCTGGTGCAAAGCTCTTCACTCTCCCAGCGAGGCCTCTTCGTGGTTAAGCCTGCCGCCAGAACTGTGGCGGCCGCAGCAACCGCTGACGGCACACCTTGCTCAGGGAGTGCTACATACAATGGTCGCAGGGACTGCTTGTCTGCGGAACATGAAGCGCCTGAAGTACGACGCGAAGTCGCTTCGTAGTTGCGCGAGCTCCAGGATTCACTTCATGCCGCTACATGCGCTGCGACTTGACGTTTGATTGCAAACTAGCCCTTGATGCAACCGGCATCCAAGCCCTCTGAAGTCGTATGGCCGAAGACGACGACTACTACTGCGACCACTGCTACGACTAAAACAAGAAGAAGAACAACAAGTATTACTACTACTACTACTACTACTACTACTACTTCTACTACTACAACTACTACTACTACTACGACTACTACGACCACTACGACTACTACGACGACGACTACTACTACTACTACTACTGCTATTACTACGACGGCTACTACTAAAGGTACTATATCAGCTATATAATCACCTCCAAATCCGAAACTCCAATCAAGGCCTCGATCGAGCGTGTCATGGAGTGGCCGACCAGGCTTCGAGGACAGCCTTCCGAAGATATACGTATACATAGATATGTATAGACAAAAATATTGGTACAGATGTAACTACTGATATAGAAATACATATAAAGGTATATATATATATGCACATATGAGTATCTGTGTGTATATATATATAGAAATAAATAGAGAGAGAATAGATACAGGTAGGTAGAAAGTTAGATAGATGGATAGATGATCGTCAGTTGCTTGTCTCAGTGGGCCTTACGGTGTCGGGTTCGCACTTCTGATGCGCCAGATCGGGCATAATAAACACGATGGCCAAGACGACGACAGTGATGACACTCTGGAGAGGTAAAAGGGACAGCAATTGCAATCGGCTGGGGATGATGGTGATGATGACGATGATGAGGATGAGGACGATGCTGCTCATAACGATGGTCGAGGGGGCCGTCATGGCTGTGGGTTGTTGTTGTCGTCGTTGTTGCTGTTGTTGTCGTTGTTGTTGGTGGTGGCGTAGCCAAGGCGATATCTCGGCTTTTCAGGACTTTGAGTTTGATTATATGATGAAGCAGGAACGAAGCGGGTGAGGGCTGCGACTCCCAAAGAGCGTACACCACCTGCTCTGGGTAGCTATGCCTTCCATGAAACCTGCCAGGTCTGTGCTCACATTGAGCAGAGCTCGAAAAGGTGCCAATCATGAAACGTAGGGGCTCCCGGTCAGACGCAAGATGAAACAGGAATCCCAAACCACCACACTGAAATGCTAAACCTACCCAGGCCTGATATCCCAAGATCAACAGGGAATCTTTCCGAACCAGCCTCGAGACAGGCAGCGCCGGCGGCGGTGTACCCTGGACAAAGGCCTGCAGCGGTTGGAACTCAAAGGATCTGGCTCTGGAGTTAAGGGCATGTCATGCATGCAAATTTACATACGCATACAACGCCATGCCACAGACAACCCCACACGTGCAAACATGTGCAACAGAACGTGTATATGTAAACACATGATATACACAGATATCCACAGTTCTAGCGCCCCTCTCACACCCGCGTACAGACACACACAAACACACACACACACATACATACATACATACATACATCCATCCATGCATGCATGCATGCACGCATGCATGCATACATACATACATACATGCATGTATGAATGCACGCATACATGCTTACCAATACGCATAAAACACACAAACATACAACCATGCATACATACCTACATACATACATGCATGCATACGTCAACACAAGGATATCTGCATGTAGTGGCTTATGTATCTTTTACAGGCATGCCAATACAGTCCAAGCACATCAAACTACGTGCGTTAAGCTTTGCGTTGTTCCAGCAGGCGCTTCTATGTGCTAGCCAAGACTAGGCGACTAGCTAGTACACTGTACCAATGTCTTGCACACAGTACAGTTGGCGCAAGGCTAGGATAGACAGTACCTGACAAAAAGACCAAGGGTAGAGCACAACACTGTTTGCCGCCCAAGACTCACCCCCTAAACCCTAAATCTGAAACCTGAAATCCTAAACCCTACACCCCGAAACCTTAAAGCCCCAACCATAAATGGGAGTTTCCGAAAATTCGGTGTACCTGATTTTGGGGTCCTTAAAAAAAGAATCCTACTATTTAGGGTTCTATCTTGGGGTCCCCTATTTTCGGAAACTCCCAAATCTTGAAGACTGTAGAGTTCCGACCTTGGCGAAGAGCGCCATGGCAACTCCCGGTGGGGTGTGGGCAGAAACGCTTATACCAGGCTCAGCTCAAGCTCCCTAAACCCCGAACCTGGGAGCTGACCGTACTTGGATACGGAATTTTGGCGGAGTTGGCCTTTCTTTAAGCTGGCTAGATAGCTGGAATCATGGATAGGTGGAATCATCTGTTTGCTCTTGAAGCCAAGAAGTCTGCGCCGTCTTGTCGTGAAGCATACTGGGGACCCTGGACTCTGAAGCGGAAACCTGCAACCTTCGGCCTCAGACAATCCTATGGCAACGTCTGCTCCCCTAAACCCTAAACGCTAAGGCATCGCAACATCGGTACTCCTTCATTGCTCGGTTCGACCGCTCGTTCAACATCCACTTGTGGCCAATAGGCCCAATGGGCCGTGAGCAGGCAGTTTTTTCCACAGCGTGGTGCTGGCTTCAATGGCTTGGTCTTGAAGCTGTGGGCGCTCTCGTGGTAGTTGTGGCTGCCTGCAGGTCTTCCGCAAGCCTTGCACACATGCCCAACCAAGCAACAATGCAGAGGCCAATGTAAGGCCGTGCGAAGAGATCTCTTCAATTTGCCGTGTAAACTTCACGAATTTCTCCGAATTTCAACCCGGAGGCAGCTAGCTGCCCAAGCTGGGCAGCTGGGCAGCACTATTGAATCTACTTAAAAGAGACATCTCACGACTTCGCCGTGATGGTACGAAAATCATATGGTTGCTGAAGCGACTCGGGGGTAGGGGTTGTCTAGGCAGCTCACATCAGGGTTCGGGAGCGCGCTATATCTGCCACATAACCAACAGCTACCGATGGTATCTTCCATCTCAGTCTTGCACTTTGCGCAAGCTGCGGTGAAAGCTGACCAGCGGAAACATCTGTCTTCTCTCGTCCTCGGCTGCAAGAAACGTTCAGGCAATGTCGGATTGTCTACCGAGCAGTCACAGTAGGCTTTGGATAACCAGTCAGAAAGAACAAGCTTTCGTGGAGCTTTTGGTGGAGAAGACAAAACCAACAAGCACTATGCAGAGGGAACGTGCTTTAGAAAAGGCTGTGCAGTCCAAGACGCCTTCACTTGCCACGGGCGTGACCTCGTCTTTCCGAGCATCTGTGTGCCTCGGCATCTCAGTGACGGAACGGACATGTTTTGCAGCTGTGAGTGTGCTGTTGCTCGTAAGATCCCCTTTGCGAAATACACAATGGTTTATTCATAGGAATACACATTATATATACATACACACATACATGCATACATACACAGATACATACATGCATGCACAGATTGAGACATAACATACATAGTTGCATGATACGTACATACCTAATCATACATTATATACATGGACTGCAGATACTGTTACTATTGCTAGCTCCCGCAGCCTCGAAGGTGTCGCCGGGCACTGCCGGATGTCGAGGACGGCGCTACCTGGCATGCAGTCGTGAACTTTGCCGTCTGCTGTGGGGCACCACACCGTTCATTCATATGAGTATGTATATCCATATGTGTAGATATCGATGCCGGCACACCAGCATGGATGTTTGCATGCGTGTGCGAGTGTGTGAGTGTCACACATGCTTACTCTTCTCATTTTCTCTGGATTCCGTATTTCTTCGTTGTAATGACTATCTGAAACCGCTACGAAGCAGGACCCTTAAAGAACCCCTTACAATCATTAACCTTGATAGATATCTTAAAGCAGCTTCTCTGTTGAGCTTCTGGGGCTCGGGGCGGCGCTTGCTTCGGCAACTCGGCTAAGGAGGATTTAAAGCTTCCAAGGTCTGGGGCAACCCTTGGGATCCAATAGCCATCCCCGAACTCGGGAACACATTCCGAGCCGTGGATCGCGGAATGTTTCTGCCCTTGCGCTTCCCAGGTCGGACGCTTGCAGATTCATACCAAAAACGCGAACACACCGGCGACGGGCTTCTTCCAGCCAGTGCTCAGATCCGCCTCCTTCTCTGGAGAGCCCGAGATGACGAGCTAGGGCACGCGATTTTGGTCTGCAGCCTTGCCGTAGTCGTGAGGCCACCAAACATGGGCCCCCATGTCGTCGGCTTGTCGTCGGGCCACTGGTTATAGTTCTAGTATGGCCGCAGCCCGTCCATGGCCGCGGCTCCCGTGTGCGAAGGGACCATGTTACCCATGACCACCAGACTTGAAACCGTCGGCTAGAGTTCAATGCAAGCAATGGATGTCGTATTCACGGTGGCTTGAGCAAGTGCACCATATGCTCTGTTCGCTTCATGCCTTTCGGCTGCTTTGGATGCTTGCTCTTTCCTCGGATTGAAGCTGTCGCTATCAGGCGAAAGCCGACCTTCTCAGCTGCCTCCACTGTGGGTCTCAAGTTGTCGAAGCCGCCGTCGCCCATTGCTGCCGCATCGCCGTCGCCGATCATTAGCGTGGACGTTCCTCCAGCACGGAGATTCCTGTGCAACGCGCACTACAACCATACTTTCAAGTTGCTGACGAAAGGTGGGGGCGGGTGGAGACTAACACGTGTCAACCTGTGAATGTCATGATGTTGTTTTAACAATAGTGTCAGGTCTTCGATCCGGTGTTGCTACGGCAGTTGTCATGAATTTGTTGCATTCGTCTGTCTTAACGACGGCCATGAATTGACATGCCGTGTGACACAAACTTGCGCATTCAACGGCCGATGTGGGTATTATCAAGCTTTTGCGCTCATTTCGAAGAGCCTCTGACTGCTGTCATGCTGCCCAATCCGCACCCTAAACCCAAGCCGGTGTTTCTGTAAGAAGCGTCATTCTCACACCGAGGCAGTGCTCGAGCAACCAAAGCGGCTCCTGCAGATGTTTGGGCCTCGAAAAACCCGTCCTCATGCAGTCTGTATGGCATCATCCTATACGATGAACACCTCTGGCTGCAGCTGAAGGCATAAAACACATCAGAACACAATCTATCACACCCCATCAAAGATCTATATAACCTTATACCCACTTTTGGACAAGAATGTGTTTGTGTGTGTGACACACACTACTCATATACGTGGTTGTCGAAATTAGGGTCCCTTTTTGGGTACCCTAAATATTCGGTGCCGTATTGTAATAAGGACCCAAGACGGGACCCTAATTTTGACAACCCCCCCATATGGAAGCGCAGGATGTGCACGGGTCCTGAAGGCCGAGGCAAGCCAGGCTTCTTGCTCCTCACGCCACTTGGATACGTAATCCGTGCCTTCCTCAAGCCAGTCACGGTTTTGTCCGATCTCCCTTCCTCAGGGTCTTGTTCGAGGATGGATTCGCAGCAGTCGATCTTTGAGAAGGCTCAAGGCTAAAGTGGCTAGAAGGAACAAAAACAACGCGTCAGGAGTCCTGGGGCATAGTCGGATGAGCTCAAGCCCAGGTGGCCCGCCTGGTCTTCCACTGTGGGCACTCGGCCACCGCCCACAGTGGAACCTGGCGCACAGAAGTCGTAGAGAATCTGACCACCGAGAAGATCGGCGGAAGCACTTGCTGGTTCATGATAGTCATAGACTCCAGGATACGGCGGGCCGGTGATGATCGCATCCACCTGCTCTGGAAGCCGCAGAATCCGATTGTCACAGCGATGGATCCGGACGTCGCCTTCTCTGGGCATGGCCTCCCGCAGGGACCGGAGCCGCGCGGCATAGAGCTGGGCGACACCATGAAACAGGGCCGGCGCCTCCATGAGGTCCTCCTCCAAAAGGCCTTCTGAGGCTTCCCCGGCGAGCCCACGGTCTCCCCACTCCTTTGAAGAAGAATGGAGGTAGGTCCGATCACGAGCTCGGCTCAAAGAGACCAGGAGCACAAAGTGCAGAGCATCCCGGAGCCCACCGGGCTCCTCCTTTGCGATCCGGGAGCGCAGATACTTCCAAGTTTGGCTCTTCAGCCTCATGCCATGAGCAAGCTCTCGGCTTTTCGCAAGGAATAACTCGAGATCGAGGCCTTGGGCGTCGGTGTGGTGTGCTGCCGCAAAGAGCGCAAGAGGCGACACGTCGCAACCAATCACGTCCTTGCCAGCAGCACGTCCCTCCACGAGAACGGTGCCCGATCCGCAGAACATGTCCTGTCTAGTACCGCGCCGTGCGCAGGGAGCAGGGACTCCTATTTTGCAAGTTCCGTCCGAATGGGGCTCAGGTGCAGATGAAGCATCACGCTAGCCTTACCTTGGGAACCTGAACCTCCTCGAACAGAAAAGCAGAGACCACCCGAGAGTCGAGGCACCATGACAGTCTTGGCCTCAGGGATCAGCACGAAAAGCGCCCGAGCACACAAGGCCTGCATTCCTGCAACATACCTCGGCGATTCTGTGGGAATGACCTACCCCTCCCTCCTGTCTGGATGACACCGGCAAGGAAGCAGTTAGCAATGACCCTCATTGCGGCTCCCTCCCATGCAGAGCTTTCGGCGGACCACTCGTGCAAACCAGGCCAGGGCTTCAGCGGTGCTCTGCTATGAGAGAGTATGCATCCAGGCAGAGCCCGTTGGCGCAACTTGAAATAATCCGAAGCCCTAAACCGTAAGTGCTGTACGAGTATGGCTTGAGTTTTACCTTGGTTTTGATGGAGGCGTGGGGCAGAACATGGATCTACGACTCGATCCTCTGCCTCCCTTGACCGAAATTTTGCGAGACGAAACTTCAAAAACCGAAGCCGGAAAAATAAATTGCAATTCATGCCGGCATGCTTGTAGAAGCCATGGGTGAGCTGATCGTGGCCTGCGGCCAGGAACGGATACCTTGCAATGATCACAATCCGTTCGTTGCGGCAAGGCTTCAACATTAAGGGCTCAATCGTGGGATCTCATCTAGGATTCAGGACCTTGAAAGGAAAAAATGTAGAGGTGCATGCTAATGGCTTTTGGGGTTGAGGCTCAAGGTGTCAGAGGAGCATGCTTGAAGGGTTGATCTTTGGACACGTGCTTCGAGTTCGGCTCTATCTGATCATGAAGAATCTGGACGATCAGTCTTGAGGCCACTTGTGCTATCTGGGCTGGCTCGAAGAATCCAGTAACCTCCATAGCGATGCTAGTCGAAAGAAACCAACATTCACCATTGCAGCTACAGTATCAGAGACGAGATGCCCAACAAGCCACTGTAGCTCCAGCGCCCTCTCCAGGTGTTTCGTGATGTCCTCAAGTTTAGAGTTTGGGGCTTATAAAGTATTTTCGGTCTTATGGGGTGTAGAGCAGTGTACGGAAGGTGGAAGTCCTCGACTCTCAATGTAACTGGGCCGTGCACCTCAAAACCTCCTACCCTGAGTTCTTCAGTAACTCGGTGCATAGAAACTCAGACCGACAAGAGTCAATACTCCCACTCGTACCGTCAACCCTATACCCCCTACCAGATCCGGCCCAGGTGTTAGGGAGATGACCTCTGGGCCAGTCGAGCTGAACTCATAGAGCTGACTCTCTTTCCGGTTGGCCTCCTCTTGCACCTGTGCACTGCAGGGCATGCTGCTGAAATCAGTCAGTTTTTCTTCGCGCTTTCGAAGCGACAAAAAGCAAACAAGAAGGTCATTCATGTTGCTCTTTTTGTCGGTGAACAACACACAAGAATGCTGAGCAAGCGCAACTGGTACTTGGGGCTCAACAGCCATCCCAGTTCGTGCGGAGGATGGAGTTGGTGATCTGCGCATCATCACTGCAATGATGATGTTGCTCATGATGCTCATGATGGTATCGATGACCTGATGATGAGGCGATGTCATGTGTCGCCGGAGGCATTTGTGATGACGACGACGTGGAGCACGGGAGCTACTGCGCAACGCGACTGATTTTAAGGCGCTCGGAAAACATTCGGGCCGATCGCATGCTCCCCAAGGCAAAGATGCGTCGTTCTTATTAGAGGACGCCGCCCCCCCCCTTCCCCCAAAGAACCCAAACACAAGCACTCGCGTTTCGAGTTCATGTTAGCGACGGCCGGAGGCGACCTCCGTTCGCTCCAAGCTCCATTTCAACGGGCCTAAGCTTCCTGGACACCCCAGCTGTCAAAGAAGGAGTCGGGGTTTGCTCTACGAGATGGTCCTCTTTGAATAGGCAAGCCCAAGCCTCTGGATTTCCAACAAGCCATCAAAAAGCCGACGGTCCCGGCCTTCTGCAGTGTCGGCCAAAGCCTCAAAACCTCCTCCCAACGGCCGGCCCTCTCGCAGACACTCACTGAGGCGCTGCAGGCATGGACGTCGACCTTTCGCGGCAAAACTGACAACAAGAGTAGCTCGAGACCATAACACCTGCGAGACGTAGAACGAAGCCAAGGTCCCTAAACCTAAATCCTTGCGCCACTCTGAACACGGAGCCAGGTTGCTATGAGAATAACCTGCTTACGGGTTCGGTAGAACTATATTATGGCAACCTTGCTCAAGACTTCAGACCTTCACTCGCATGCCCGTAGGTCAATCGCACATTAACCATCATTAACCTTGGGTTTCGGGCTCACTCTATGTGACGAACAGTCACCCGCTGGTCTTATTAGTCTTGTTCTGTCCAGGACACCGCGTAGCCGCTTGACTCCTTCAGCGCCAGCATTCGCAACGCCAAGTCCCACTTCCCGGCGCGCGAGAAGGCGCCAATGACAGCATTGTATCCTGGGCATGTCTTACAGCCACTGACAAGCATTTCAAGTTTGATGTCCTTGTTGTAGTACCGCGCAGGCATATCAAATATCCCAAGTGTGTACCAAGTATCCGAAGTCATCGAGCTGAACGCTTTGGTGTTGCATTTGCTCACAGAGTTGCATTGTCTGCTCCCATTGCCTGGTCTCTTCACAGGCTTCGAAGACAGCGCTGTAGGAAACTACATCAGGGCTCAGCCGCAAGCTTGGCATCTCCTGCCTCAGATGTCTTCTTGCTCCAAGTCTGCTTCAGGACCCTGCTTAGCTTCGGGCCCTGGCAGCATCCAATAGAAAATGCGAAAAGCCCAAATCCACACTGCACTACAAATCAAAGTCCAAGCCCATACTCCGCAGAAGCCTAGTTGCCAGAGCCCAGCAGCCATTTGCGACTGAGCTCCCCGGGCGCAGCTCGTGATGCATGCATTGCAGGCCACCAGGTCTGGTGAAATCGTTGAAGATCGCATGCTGTGCAGCAGGCTCAGCGACTGCTCCCACTGGCCGGAAGTAGCACATGCACTGATGCAGGCGCTGTAAGTAATCAAGTTTTTGTCCACCCTCTTCCGTGTCATCTGAGACAACAGCTCCACAGCAGACTCCCACTTGTGGCACTTCTCGCATGCATTGATGCAGGCACTGAAGGTTACCTTCGGACGTGGGCATATCGCCGATGGCCTACCAGATATTGCCCTCTTACAGGTACGAGGCTGTGAGTTTTTCACGAGAACACTCCGACCTTTCGAGTTCATTCCTGCATTCCTACCGCTGCCGCCTGTTGCGACCTTACATTCTTCTCGACTCTACTGACCGCCCGCGTCAGCACAACTCCACAACATCGCAACCCAAAGCGCCGATTAATTTCGAATCACACAACCTCAGCAGCCTGATCTCGGCATAAAACCCCTGAACTCCAGCACCCTGCGCTCCCACCATCAGAGCCGCCCAGGGGCCGTATTATGCTCCACGCGCACGGCTTGCATCTGCTGCAGAAGCCCCAAAGCAGGTCTCCAGGATTCGGCCTTTCCAGGGCAAAGAGATGCCATTTACCCATGGAGACTTCACGAAGGCACGAGCTCGTTACCCCTTGAAACTGCTACAGTGCTTAGGCGCTGGGGTTAGTGTTCGGAGAGATTTCGGGGCTCAGATTAGGGTCTGCATGCGCGGGCATGGCTGATCTTGCGCAGAGCAACAACTGTTGCTACTCACCATCACGCCTTGGCACATGCATTGATGCATGCACCGAAATGGAAGGCGTTCACCTGCATCAACAATTGGCTACACTAGCTAAACGGGAAATATGCACTCATGTCACAAAATGATGGCGCTGTTGACGGGTGAGCTGATGTTTCACTCTGCCTCACGCATCCAATGCTCCTGGACAGCGTCTGCATCTTATTCCTCAAGACCCAAACCCTATGAGACCATAAGCCCAAAATTGCTAGGGAGAGATGTTTGCCGTTTCCCAATAATTCTTGCGCCCTATAAACCCCACAGTGCCATCGGGTTTAGGTTGTCTCCGTAACTCTCATCCCAATGCCCAACGCACTATGAATCTATGAGGCCCCAACAGTTCACTGGCAGAGTTATGCTTTCGTCCACAGGACCTCACAAGAGCAGCTCCGCAAAGCATCCAACACCAGCAGCGCGAGCGATGCCCTCCTAGGGTGTAGGGTCAAGGGGTTCGTGCTTCGGAGCGGGTCTAAGGGCCTACGGTCTTGAGGATTTAAATTAGGATTGACGGTTGATCTCGCTCCGCTACGAGAGCCCTTCCTTTGAGCCTCCGCAAAGCTGGACTATACTTCACAGCCTGAGCTTGCATTGGGGGAACCTGAACCTCACACCTCCATGGGATCAGAAAAACGATAACAAAAACTAGTAGTATCATCAGTACTACTCATCATAATGATGTTCATGATAGTCATAAGTCATCAGAATTCCGAAGCCGGGCGGCTTCAGGCGCCCGAGCTCGCTCAAGACCCGAGTGCTGGCTTGTGGATACTTCCCCAGCTGCCAGAGAAAAGGCCTGAGTGCCTCAGATCCATAACATGTGCATATACATACATATACGTATGTGTATATATATATACACATACACAATCAACACGAGTACTCAATATGAACAAACATATTATTATGAGTACTCGTATAAGTACTAACATTAATGTAAATATCAGTTTTCAATTACGCGTCTGTACTAATATATAGCATAATATCAGCAGAATAAATGAGCTTGAGGATTCGGGCTTAGGGTATGCGGGGCTCTTGGGCAGAGCTTGAAATTCAAGGTGGTCGAGTGGTGGGGAAGGCCACCACAAAGAAGCTGCGTAGTGATGTAAAACAAGATGGAAACTGTTCAGAAGAAATGATCTCATTACCGGTGTGTATTTCTGGGTCTCTACCCGAAAATTTTTTGATTTCTGGCCCTAAACCCTAAACACTAAGCCCCGAAACCCAGCCCTGGCCTCCCGGAGACTTGCAACGCTGGGCTGGGCCGTTCGGAGCACAGCGTCGGTAGCCGGCAAGAGCTCACCAGACATGTTGGCAACATCAACAGGCAGCTACCGCATGAGCTTTATAGGAATTGAAAATGTTGGAACAACCTACTCCGAATTCAACATCGCGTCTCTGTACATATGCACGGTGCACTGAACTTTGAACCCCACTTAACACATGTAAGGTGTCTCACACACCAAACCCGAACCCTGAACCTTGTAAGAGATGAACTCTGAACCCTCGAACCCTCAAACCCTCCTCTGCCATAAACATGAACCCTACACTTGTACTTAAACCGCATACCCGACACCCTGAACCCTTGAAGTTCTCCAAGTCCCTAGACCCCAAGCTCGGCACACTCAAAACTGGGTTCTTGCATCGGGACTCCATAGTAAATGATAAGGTTTCCTCAAGTTTAGCTCCTCAACAAGAACCCTCAAGCTAGTAAACTGTTTCTTAGTAGTTTTAGATGGATTCCTTTAGTTGAACTCCTTAACAAGAGCCCAAAAAAAGGGGCAGACTCTTGCCAGAGAGCAGCTGCCGGGGCCGGCTTGAGCCCCCAATGCAGCACAACCCAAACTTTAGGCTTCTAGTGTTAAATTGGGGCTCATATGGTTCAAAAATTGTGGCTTGAAGGACTTAGGGTTTATAGGGATAGGGATAGGACTCTTAGGGTGCACGGGGTTCAGGATTTACAGGGTTTATAGCTCATAGGGCTTCGGGGTTAGGGTATAGGGTAAATTAGGGTTTACAGAGATTCGGGTACATAGGATTTGTGTTGCAGAAAGGGTTCCGAGGTGTGTGCTGCAGACTTCGTTTTGAACGATGCAAAGGCCGGGCCGGCCACGATCTGCGGGAAGAGTTACAGAGCACAACATCATTACGGCAACCTTTGTAATAACTTGGGTACTGCCCCCATACAGTACCAGTCTATAATAGGGCTACTAGTAAGATCCTTATATCTCTGTATTATGAATGCTATCCAACTGTTACTGAGTGGGGGCAGTACCCAACTAATAACCCTTATAGCAATCCCCGTGATTTCCTTGTTATAACCCTTTCTCCTGTTGCTCAAGGTTCAGGGCCGGGTTTGCACCAGCTGCCAAGAAGCGAAAGGGACCCTCAACGAGTGCTCGAAATGATCGGGAAACAAGAATAGCGCTGAGTTGTCCAATATTCGTTGTAGTAGAAGCATGGACTATATAGGGCCACAATGAGTTGCTTGCCCAAGGACCCTTGATTTATGAAGCCTGGAAGCACAAGATCTGACACGCCCACCATTAGATCATCTCAAAAAAACACCGATAAACATCACCATGAAATGGTGAAGCCCTGCACCCGTATGATGCCTTGCTGATTCCCTACACAATGCCGATTTTGGCATCGACTTCCCAATGCCCTGTGCCTAGCCTCTCGCAGTCCGAAACGCCATAAATCTGAAGGGAAAACTCACGCCCATCCGTTCGCCCAAAACTGGACTCTGAGATCACTGAGATCCTTAACCCCCAATCCTGAAGCCTGAACCGATAAACCTCAAAACTGCAAAGTCCTGAAACCCCAAAACCGCCAAACCCCAAAGCCAAGGCAACAACACCCCCTTGCAAACCCACAAACCCAAAGCCCCAAACCCAAAAAGCATTAAACCCGAAAGCCCTGACCCTAATCCCAAAAACCCTCTAAGCCCCATAAGCCCGTGCCCCTTAACACGCAAACCTCTGGCACCCTGAAAGCTAGCGCCACAAACCCCGAACGCCCCAACAACACCCCCAAAATCACAGAAACCCCAACGTTTGAAAGACCCGGCATCCGAGAACCCCGAAATACCCTGAAGCCTGAAAGCGCAACAAAAGCGGTGAAGCTCCGATGACAGTAAATTCAAAGCTCTAAACCCCCGAACCCTAAACGCCCAAAGCACCTAAATCCCCAAAACCCCGAAACCCCAAGCCCTGAACTCCGAAAACCCACCAACCCCATACTCCTCAAACCGTAAATGCCACAAATGGGGACTGTGGCGGTCGACATGCAAGGTTTGGTTTCCGAGATGCAAAGCTCGTGCCCGAGATGCATGGCACAAGGCAGTTTGCATCTCGGAAACCTACCCGCTCCAGTTCACCCAGTACGCTTTGCATCTCGGAAACCGACCTGCGCCGGTTCACCCAGAACTGTACTATTTTACTATTTTACTATTTTACTATTTTACTATTTTACTACTATACTACTCTTCTACTATGTCCTATTTACTATTTCTCTACTATTTGTTATTATACTATTCTACCACGACCAGAGCCGTTTGCATCTCGGAAACCGACCTGCGCCGGTTCACCCAGTACTTTACTATTTTACTATTCTACTATTTTACTATTTTACTATTTTACTGTTTTACTATTTTACTATTTTACTATTGTACTATTTTACTATTTCAGTACTATACTACTCTTCTACTATGTCCTATTTACTATTTCAATACTATTTGCTATTATACTATTCTACCACGACCAGAGCCGTTTGCATCTCGGAAACCGACCTGCGCCGGTTCACCCAGTACTTTACTATTTTACTATTTTACTATTTTACTATTTCAGTACTATACTACTCTTCTACTACGTCCTATTTACTATTTCAGTACTACTTGCTATTATACTATTCTACCACGGCCAGAGCCGTTTGCATCTCGGAAACCGACCTGCGCCGGTTCACCCAGCACTTTACTATTTTACTATTTTACTATTTCACTATTTCAGTACTATACTACTCTTCTACTATGTCCTTTTTACTATTTCAGTATTATGCTATTATACTATTCTACCACGACCGGAGCCGTTTGCATCTCGGAAACCGACCTGCGCCGGTTCACCCAGGACTTTACTATTTTACTATTTTACTATTTCACTATCTCAGTACTATACTACTCTTCTACTCTTCTACTATGTCCTATTTACTATTTCAGTACTATTTGCTATTATACTATTCTACCACGACCAGAGCCGTTTGCATCTCGGAAACCGACCTGCGCCGGTTCACCCAGGACTTTACTATTTTACTATTTCAGTACTATACTACTCTTCTACTATGTCCTATTTACTATTTCAATACTATTTGCTATTATACTACTCGACCACGACCAGAGCCGTTTGCATCTCGGAAACCGACCTGCGCCGGTTCACCCAGGACTTTGCTATTTTACTATAATTTTACTATTTCAGTACTATACTACTCTTCTACTATGTCCTATTTACTATTTCAGCACTATTTGCTATTATACTATTCTACCACGACCAGGGCCGTTTGCATCTCGGAAACCGACCTGCGCCGGTTCACCCAGGACTTTACTATATTACTATTTTACTATTTTACTATTTCAGTACTATACTACTCTTCTACTATGTCCTATTTACTATTTCAGTACTATTTGCTATTATACTATCCTACCACGACCAGAGCCGTTTGCATCTCGGAGACCGACCTGCGCCGGCTCACCCAAAAAATTAGGAAAAGGCCGATTCAAAAGCTAAGGCTTCATGGTTATATCGCTATCCAGCCTAAACAAGCCTTCGTCATGGCTTCTCGTCGTGTCATCAACGTGCATCTGAAGAAAGACCAGATGTTGAACAAGTTGATTCAGAGAAACCAGAAGGAACTCGAAAAAAGACATCTCAAAGAAGTCGATGTGTCGGGTAATGAAGAATGCCCTCATAGTCTTCGATCATTCATCGAGCCCTTCAAGGCGAAGATTACCGAGACAAAGACTAAAATGTCGAATGGCGAACTCAACATGAAGGACGTCTTCGAAGGCTTAGATGATGGTCAGATTGTTCAACTCAAGGAGCTTTTCAACCCCGAGAAGATGGCTTCTAAAAGGTCTCATGGCGTGGATATCTTGATGTTCGCTTCAAAAATCATTCTTGACAGTGAGCTTTCAAAGATGGAAGCGGCAGCTAACCACATCAACCTAATCAAGAATGAGATGTTGTCAACGTTTGTCGAAGGCTTTGGCAAGTCCTCCAACAAGGAGAAGGGCTACGAGATGATCTACGACTTGAACGGAGCACATGAAGACTTGAAAGCATCATTAATTATAGGCGCGGTGTGAAAAAGACCCTTGAAAGCAAGGGTTTGACAGAAGAGCCCGAAGCACAAAATGCTTCATGATCTGCTTTACTGTCTCGAGTTCCTTGGTCAAGACTTCCAACGACGCGGTTACTTGCTGTAGTGCAGCGGTCTCGATATTGTCGAAGGGTAGTCCCATGGATGCAATAGCGTCTGTGTAGACTTCCTTTGAGATATCGTCCTCGATGTTCTCGCCCTTGTCCTCGATGTTCTCGGATGGCTTTTCGCCCTTGTCCTCGATGTTCTCGGACGGCTTCTCGCCCTTGTCCTCGATGTTCTCGGATGGCTTCTCACTCTCGCCCTCGTCCTTGATGTTCTTCGCGGTCTCGACTTCATCGACGATCTTCTCCGTCGACATGGCTTCACTTCACCCCTTTACGAATGTCAAAGAATGCTTGAAAAAGAAAAGCGAATTTATTCAGAAAGGCAAACAATACAGCTTGACGGTCAAAATGGTCAGCACCACCAAGGATTACAAACTCAACTTTAAGCCCGAAGACCGCTTGGCATCCTTGAAGAAAGAGGTCGATAAGAAAACCGCGGTGCCATATGACAAGCAAATCCTTACCATGAATGACGAGACGATGGACAGCAACCATAAGAGTTTGATGGCTTACGGTGTCGTTCCTGATGCTATCATTCTGCTTAGCCAGAAGAAGTAGCGTAAAGCTTCTTTGCCAAAGAGGCGTCGGGGATTTACCACATAATATTAAATAGTATAGGTGTAAATTTTAGATTAGGACGACGACGCCTTTGAAAAGAAGAAGCATAGCCTTTTGGTTCTCGCAGATTCAACTGCTGCAGGAAACGGTGGCACAAAAGAGAGCTTCAGTATGCAACCCGAACCCCTTCTAAACCCCTAAACTTTAAACCAATAAATTAAAAAATCAAAGCATATAGTCTTTAGAAAAATACGGGTCGCTATAAAACTATAGGC